GGCCCTTTTTACATTCTGGGCTGGATTGCCCTAATCCTGACATGTTCCAGGACTGTGACCAGATGAGCTCTCCTTCCATCGTGGGCAGAGAATTCCAGCACTGCTGCGTGGGCCTGCCTGTGCACAGGGAGGAGCCTGGTGAGCGTGTCTGGGCCTGATGGGGCTTAGAGAGTTTGCTGGTTTCTGACTCCAAAATCAGCAAGTTCCCCAACCTTGGGGTGGACACTGACTGTGGACTCACCACTTGTCCAGGTGTCTCTCTGTTCAGGACAAGGTAATGGCATGGGAGCATCGTGCAGGCTGAGGGGCCACTCCCAGTCATACTCTCTTTCCCTTGTATTTCACTGCAGGGTGCTTTTTTTTTTTTTAAGGAAGGTATTTGAGGTTGGTTCTTATTTTGCAGGTGGTAGAAATAAGGAATTTAAGTGCATGGGGAAGGAATAAGAATAGGCTAGGAAGTCCTTTTCCTGTTTCTCTAGTGTCAGACATAACCTCTCCTAGGAACTTGATGAACCATGTGTTCATTGCTCATTGTTTCTCAGAGCTGTCTGAGCTCCTGAGCCACCAGTGTATGGCCATGAGGAGAGGGAAAAGAGGGGCCACAGTTACGAGTGACCAGTGGCAGTCTCTGGCTCGACCCTTGTCCTCCGGAGCTCACTGCCTTCTGGGCCTCTGTATAGCAACTCTGTAAAGATTGTGTCATTACCCCACTTACAAGAATCAGAGTTGTATGTTTTATCAGGAAGAGATTGGATTTGCTTCTACCACTTCTTACCCCTGGGCCCTAGGCCCTTGCCTTTTTGCAGTGTGCTCTTGCATGCAGGTGTATGTGTGTCTTGCATGCAGGTGTATGTGTGTGTGTTTGTGTATGCACACGTGCGTGCTTGTGAGTATGTGTGTACACAGTACATGTGCTCTGAGTCTCACCTCTGCTGCCTGTTCTGCCTGCCCTGTTGTCATTGCTGCCCCCAGCAAGGCAAATATCTTAACAGGCTCTCCCAGCTTCTGCTTGTGTACTTCAAGAAACAGGACACCCACTCCCTCTAAAATATAACAAGCCTGGCCCTTCGGAGAGGGGGAAGGACTCTGAGCTGGAATTGGCCGATACTGGTCTCTGCTCTGCCTTCAGGCAGCTCCTTTCTCCCTTTGAGATTCTTGGGCCTCTTATTTCCAGAGGAGGCAATCTTACCCTCAATTCTTACCTACAGCTTAAAGCATGCTTACTTTTCTTTCTTCCCCTTTTTTTTTTTTCCTCTCTTTTGATTGACACTGGGACTTGAGCTGGGTACCTGATGCTTTCACTCATTGGCTGGTGCTCTCCCATCTGAGCCCTGGCTCCTATTCCTGGGCACTCTCACTTTAAGAAGAGCTTTTTAATTTAACGAGTTTGGAGTTTTTATTCCCCTTTTCCTTGAAAGAATGGAGAGTTTGCTGAGCTGTCTCTAACCTTTTAGGAGAAAAAAAAAGGTTCAGAGTTGAAAACCAGCTTGTGGGCTGGAAGGCTATCAGATAAGTCTGTGCTCCTGGGGACAATGTCCTGTTGTTCCTGCTGCCCCACCCTCACAATAAACTGCTGTCGCCTGGCCCAACTCCTAGCAGCAGCTCCCCCTTGCTTGTGTCCACATTTCCTGGCCTAGCCAGCAGGCAGCCTGACTCCCCTTCCCCCCACTGCCTGTGGCCACTGCGTGATGGAAAGATTCAGGCTGTGGCTGGTGCTGTTATAGCCAGCCTTGGCCCCCACCGAGTCAAATACCACATAGTCACTTGCTCCCATGAGATCCTGAGCAAGTTCACTTCGCCTTTCTGGGTTGGAGTATGTCAGTCTGGACATGATGGGAATTAAAGTGAGGGGACAGGCAGGCTGTGTGGTATGAGGTAGTGCAGGTGGCATGGGCATAAGTTGTTAGGAAAGAACAGGGACAGCATCATAGTGGCCCCAGGTTGGACCTTGAGATGGGAAAGATTTGGGAGGCTGAAGAAAAAGCATGGGCCAAATCCCCCAGAGGGCAGTTTGTGTCTAGATCCTAGCAGGGTACTGGGCTTGAAGCCTCTGGGACTCAGTTTTCTTACAAGTTGGGAGGGGACAGAGGAGGAGAGGAGTGAGGTATGGGGCATAGAGGGACACATCTGTTGGGGAAGATGCTGCTGCTGTGGTTCTGTAGTCTAGACTGGGAAGCCAGCAGAACACTCCTCTATTGACTAGCCTGAGAGTGACCTGGAAATCCTCATGCTACCCCTCCCCAGGAGGTACAAGCTTCCATGCAGAGGAGGAGATAGAGACAGGGCCTCAGATCTCTGGAGGGTGGACTGTCGTGGGGCCTAGAAGACCTACCACATGGGGGAAGATCTTGGAGAGGGCTGGAGGGACCATGGTATTACCACAGAAGCGAAGTCCCTCAAGACTTCTTCACAGAGATTCTGGGATGAACATTGAGGGGTTGTTTTTGGAGCAACTGGAGCAGAAAATGCCCTGATAACCACCCCCATGCCTTCTTTCTCCTTTGTCCCAGGAAACAGCTACATTTACAGAGCCTGGGCTCAGGGAGTTCTGTCCTGTCCCAGCCTACCTCCTCTCCAGGGAGCCAGCCAGCTAACTTGGGCTGTAAGAGTAGTGGGACTTTGATTCCCAAACTTTGAGGCTCTAAAACTCAAAGCTAAGCCAGGCCCAGCCTTACAGGGAGCCTTACAGGGAGGAGTCCCCTGCTTGGGAAGGGGGGCAACTAACAAGACTTTCCTGGCACAGGCTGGTAAATGAGCATTGTTGGCTGCCCCAGGGGTCCAGGAAGGCTTCATGAAAGACGGGCACTGGTGCTGGGTGCAGACTGCCTCCCTGAGCCCAGTTGGTGTAGTTGTTTCCTGGGAGAAAGGACAGAGCAGATGCGAGGGTGGGTTATCAGGGCACTTCCTGCTCAAGGCCAACATGGGAGCTTGCTCTGTGTGTGTGTGTGTGTGTGTGTGTGTGTGTGTGTGTGTGTGTCAGGGCCAGAAGAGGGGGTGGCTGGCAGAGAATCCAGGTTGAGCAGGAAGGAGCTACAGATACACGTGTGTGTGTGTGTGTGTGTGTGTGTGTGTGTGTGTGTGTGTGTGTGTGTGTGTGTGTGTGTGTGTGTGTGTGTGTGTGTGTGTGTGTGTGTGTGTGTCAGGGCCAGAAGAGGGGGTGGCTGGCAGAGAATCCAGGTTGAGCAGGAAGGAGCTACAGATACACAAGCCCTGCTACCAGCTAGTGCTCTGTGCCTGGAATTCCCATTTTCCTTCCAATGAGCTCAGGCTGTTAGACTGATGCACCTTCGCCCCACCTTCTCTCTGCTCCAGTCCCTTCCTCCAGTAACCCTGGGGAGGTAGGAGAGTCAAGGCTGCCCAGCTCTTGTAGCCAGTTGGGCTGGGTGAGTCCAGGATATCTTAAGGGCCCTGAGCTTCCCTTGGCCCTCCCTATTGCCTGGGACCTCCCCCACTTCTTTGTGGGACAACATGGTAAAGATGGAAGGGGGGCTTTCTACCACCACAGGCTTTGGGCCTGTGGGTTTGGAAGTTCGGCTTACACCTACTGGGCTCCTGGGACTTCAGGGCTAGGACCCTTTTGTGTCTTTGGGTCTTTTTAGACATGGCCAGGGCACTGAAGCTGCTGCCAATCCTCTCCTGGATCTTGAAGCAGGAGTTGGCCCCTGTTCGCCAGCCCCACCCCTTGCACTTCTGGGCCTGTACCTGCCCTAACTCCTAGGATCCAAATGGTAGTTTTCCAGGCTGAGCCAGAAAGTAGCTGATTTTGGCTGGCAACAAACTGTTTTTAAATCTGACTGCCAGGTGTCGGGGGCTGAGGTCTTTGCTTTGCCTAGAGGAAGTCACTTCTTGAACACCCCAGTCAGGGTGTCTTCTCCATTGCTGTATGCTACTCCAGCTGGCAGGAAGGTAGGCTGCCTTGCCTAGGATCCTAGCCAAGGGAAAGGAAGATTCTCCCTCCCACCCCACCCCCCCAATCCATAGTGTTAGTACCAAGGCAGTGAGGGGGCCAGGCTACTGGAGCAGGGATTAATGTCGAGTGGGGAAAAAACCTGTCTGAACACCCTAGGGATGATATGCTGTATGAGGTAGGCCACAGTGCACCTGTGGGATCTAGGCATCTAGAAAGGTCCTGGAGGAGTAGAGACACAGCTGTGTATGTGTGCCAGTGAGTGGAGCCATAGTGGAGTCATGTGGCTCCAAGCTGGGCCTACGCCACAGGCCTCTTCTGGTTGAACCTGTTTCCTCAGAGTTCTCAGAGGCCAGCTTCAGACTGGGCATGCCAAGGCCAAGGAAAAGGCTGACTGGTCTCCTGGGTGTTGGGGGTGGGCAGTGTGAGATGTCCGTGTGATGCACAGAGGAACTGAGGTGCAGATGGGTATAATGTGCCTAACACTGTACAGCAGGTGAGCAGCAGGCCCACGTCCAAGGCTGAGTGTATTAAGAGCCAGTGCATGTCTGGGCTCTTATTTGGTTAACAAGTGGCAGCTTAGTGCTTCAGCCCAGGCCTGGGTCTGATCCACTGACCCAGGAGGAGTTCCAGGTGGTGGACCCTCACAGTATTGGTGTTTGGAGTACTGTGCAAAAATTGCCACGCTCCTTCTACTCTGAGTCTCCTTGTTCTTGTTTGTCAAATAGAGGGACTCTTCTGCCTTATGTGGGACTGTGGAGTGGAACAGTCATAACTAAGGGCTCTGCTAGCTGTAGCAGTCTGGACAATTGTTAGGACAGGGTGACTAACACTAGTCTTAGATAGGGACCAAGGCAGAGGCCAGGGAAGGTTAGAAAGATCCAGAAGACTCCTTGGGACAGGGTCTTTGGGGCTGTTGGAGAATCAAGGCAGACCCTGGCTCACAAACTCTAATGGATCTGATACCCTTACCCAAACTTTTCCAAAGACAAACACAAAGGAGTGTGGGGTAGGGAGGAGGGGAGTTGGCCAACTGGTACCAGCTTGGTCCAGACACTGGAAGGCCCTCCTGACACTCTGCCTGCCTCCCCAGGTCCCATCTGATGCCAAGACTGAAGGAGTCTCGCTCCCACGAGTCCCTGCTCAGCCCCAGCAGCGCAGTGGAGGCGCTGGACCTCAGCATGGAGGAGGAGGTGGTCATCAAGCCTGTGCACAGCAGCATCCTGGGCCAGGACTACTGCTTCGAGGTAGGTTCTACCACAGTCTCTGGCCAGGTGGATCTACTCCAGACCCCTAGGAGTGCTTGGTGACCTCAGCTGGGGACAAGGAACAGTGGCCAGAATCTGCTCATAGCTTTTGGCTTTGATGGGAGGCAAGGTGGAGGTGGGAGTAGGGATAGCCTTCATACCTGTTCTCTGTGCTAGTATGTGAAGTTGCTGGGCCTCTAGTGGACAAAATGATTTAAACTCCAGAGCCTGTGCTCTGGGCCGGCTCACCTCCAGTGCAAGCTAGGGAACTGGAGAAAGTTCCCCTTTTCTGGGCCTATTTCTCTGTCTGCAGAGAGTCTAAACCTTCCTGCTCTGCATTCTGTGAGCCCAGGTTTGAGAGCACAGGGCCAGCAGCCCAGCCTAGGGGGTTATTACCTGGTATTACCTATGCAGTCCCTCATGGAAGATGATGGAGAATCTGTGGCCCAGAGAAGTCAAGGTGTCAGAGGTCATGACAACTAGGCCGAGACAAGCCAGCCCCGGGGTCACAAGTGCTGCAGATAGTCCTGAGAGGTGCTGCTTGCTTTTCTATTGTTCATATGTCTTTGTGTCTCTGCTTCTGGGGAACTTCCTACCTTACCCAAACAGCAATACATAATCAGAAGAATGAGCCACCATTTGGGGTCTTCTGACATCTTCCACACCCTGTGCCCAGTCTGTGCTGTCTCTGGTCAAGACTCCTGGCTGGGCTGTGAAGGTGGCTCAGTGGTAGAGCGCTTGCCTTGCATGCTTGAGGCCCTGGGTTCGATTCCTCAGCACCACATAAGCTGGAAGTGGCACTGTGGCTCAAGTGGTAGAGCGCTAGCCTTGGTCTGAAGAACTGAGGGATAGCACCCAGGCCCAGAGTTCAGGCCCCACAATCGGATGCGCTCCCCCGCCCCCCCCCCCACAAAAAAAAAAAAAAAAGACTCCTGGCTGAGTGGGCTGGATTTGAACTGGGACATGTTTGGGATGTCCTGGGATGGGCTGAGACAGTCAGTGCCTGATGGCTTTTTCACAGCAGGGGCAACTGTTCAGTGTGCGGGCTGCGGTATGGGGTCTGGCTTCCCTATAAAGCCTTGGGTGTCAGGGGCAGCATGGACAGAGTGGGAGCAGCTTGGGCCAGGTTTCTTTCTGGAGGAGATGTCCAAGTGGCAACCAGAGGGTGAGCAGGAATCAGGCAAAACAGGAGGGTAAAGATTATAGCCAGAGGACCCTAAGGCCTGGCATACCGTTAGGCTTCTATAACTATCATCATCACTGTTGTTGGGCAAAAGAATCCTCAGGAAGTAATCAGCTAAGGACCGAGGTGCTTATTCTCCTTTGGCATCCTATTCTGTTTCTCCTCCAGTTTCAGGTCAGAGTCAGAAAGATGTTCTCCTACGAGGACAAGAGTGCCATGGGGCGGGAGGTTGGGGGGGGGGGAGGTAGGGGGTGGGACGACTTGTTCCTGCTGCTGGCCTGCTCTGGGACAGCGGAATGCCACCTGACACAGGAGATGTCAGGGTGATTGTGAGCCTTGTCCGCCTCCTTGCAGTGGGCAGACCTGGTCCTCAGAGGTCTTCCATTGCTGTCCACCCTGTGGTCCCTGCTTCTGTAGCACTGTCCTGCCTGCCCCGACAGGTGACAACATCTTCCGGAAGTAAGTGCTTTTCCTGCCGGTCCGCAGCTGAGCGCGATAAGTGGATGGAGAACCTGCGACGGGCTGTGCACCCCAATAAGGTAGGCCTGCACCCTCTCCCACTGGAGCATGAGAGATGGAGTGGGACGTGAGGAAATGGGAAGAATGACCCCTGGGTGTAGGCAGGGCCCAAACAAACTCTGTGAAAGTTTGAGTTGGTCATGCTGGGATGCCTGAGCTACCTGGAACCTGTTCCCAAAGCTATGTATTGAGGCTGGGCCACAGAGATGGGTATTAATTGGGCCTGTGGGCCCCTGTGTCCTTTTGTCTGGAACTCCTGTAACCCACATTAATCATAGTTTACTGGCTCATCTATCATGTTCTAACTTAGACGTCTGCCCCTTCCTTCAGGCAGGCAACCTCTTGCCCAGCTTGGTGCCCAGTTGGGTTTCTACTGTCCCAGGGCTCTCCTATCTGGTTAGGACCCTGACTGTAATCCCTGCTCCTGTGTCTGTCTCCCTAGGTGACTTGTGGGTCTGGGCTAGGGAGAGTCTTGGTTACCATGACATCACTAAGGAAAAGACCTTAGCGGTAGTGATGTTTTAAGTTACCATATAGACCAGCAAACTGAGGCACAAGACATCAGTACCTTGTGATGGGGCAGGCATTGTGCTGACCTTCTTCCTCAGTTTCCCTCTCTGAAGCAGTTTATAGAAAAGCAAAGTGAGATCCAGGTTAGGACACTTGCCCAGTTCAGTGAGCTAGCTCATAGTCAGCAAAGGACCCCATATCCAGCCATGTTCACCAGACTCGTCCCATGTCAGGACCTGAGCCTTCCCTGGGTCTCAAGGCATCCCTTCCAGATGCTGTGGATTCCTGTAATGGCTAGGGAGTGGGTACCAGTCAGAGGTGACCATCCTGGGCCCCTGTGCTTATACAGGACAACAGCCGGCGTGTAGAACATATCCTGAAGCTTTGGGTGATCGAGGCCAAGGACCTACCAGCCAAGAAGAAGTACCTGTGTGAGCTGTGCCTGGATGATGTGCTCTATGCCCGCACCACAGGCAAGCTCAAGACGGACAATGTCTTCTGGGGTGAGCACTTTGAGTTCCACAACCTGCCTCCTCTGCGCACAGTCACTGTCCACCTATACCGGGAGACTGACAAAAAGAAGAAGAAGGAGCGCAACAGCTACCTGGGCCTGGTGAGCCTGCCTGCCGCTTCAGTGGCTGGCCGGCAGTTTGTGGAGAAATGGTACCCAGTGGTGACGCCCAACCCCAAGGGTGGCAAAGGCCCTGGGCCTATGATCCGCATCAAGGCACGCTACCAGACTATCACCATCCTGCCCATGGAGATGTACAAGGAGTTTGCCGAGCATATTACCAACCACTACCTGGGGCTGTGTGCAGCCCTCGAGCCCATCCTCAGTGCCAAGACCAAGGAGGAGATGGCATCTGCCTTGGTGCACATCCTGCAGAGCACAGGCAAAGTTAAGGTACGTGTAGCCCGCCACTAGTGGAAGGCCTGGTAACAGGGACTGGGCTCCCAGCTCTGGCTGCGTGCCTCTCACATAGCGCTGGTGGAGGTGGCATGGATCAGAGACAGATGCTCTCACTAAGCAGGGGCTGTCATGAGGAGAAGGGCTTCCTACTAGGGCTGATTCTCAAGGCACATGTGAAGCCCTAGTAGTGGGGGTGGGGTTGGGTTGCCTTCAAGTGCCTCCCCTACTGTCCTCAGACTTGCCTGAGCAGCAGACACGGAGCTGAGCCCTCCTAATGTACATGGGCCCCCAACCTACCCACCACAGCCACCTAAACTCACATTGCCGCTGGCATGTTGGGTTCAACCAGTATTCCCAACAGGTGAACCACCATCACAGCCCTAGCCTCACCTATATCCTCACACCAGACACAGAGATTTCACCTGCACACACAAAGACACATGCATGCATGTACAGTCAGCTGGCCCCAGCATCAAAACCCGAGAGAAATGGAGATTAGAAAGCCATGTAGGTAGGTCCCATATTGGATAGATCTAGCTATCCTACCTTTTATATCCTGGCACTCCCCAAAAAGGGGCCTAGCAAGTTACCCCAAGACTCATCTTCATTCCCTGGCTTTGGAGGTGACTAGACTTTTGGTCTGGGGTAGCCCTAGGAAGTAGACCATATCCTATCTATCCAGCTCAGTGGAACATGGCTTTGGAACCTCCTCTTTACCATACCTCTCCTCTTGGAGGAGCTGCCCGAAGCAGGTGGAAGGAAGAAGCCCTGGCCTGGGCTAGGCTGGCCTTTTGCAACATGGATAGGCCCCAAGGTGTGGTCTATCTGAGGAGCTTGGCATTGGCCCAATGGTTTGAGAACCAGTGGCTTATGTGATAAGAGCTGGGGGATGGTTGGTGTCAAGGTCCTGAGTCCTCAGCTAGATTCAAGGAAGCCCAGGTGAGGGAATGAGGCAGGCAGAGTGCAGTGGTGCAGGACTCCATGGATGCCCCTTGCGTTCTTCCCAGAGGTCCTATCAGGGAGGCAGGGTTGCAAACCACTTGGCCTCTGCAGCCCCCAGCACCTCTGCTGTGTGGCACTGTGCCACAGGACAGCCCTTGGGAGAGGGACTCCCTCACATGATCATTGCGGGGGGCATGCCTTCCTCTGTACTTGGGTTACTGGTCCCTGCCTTCAGATGTGCTGGCTGCAGGTGCCACCTGGGACCCCTCTGGCCACATTGCTGATGTACTGTCAGTGATGGGCCAGGGTGCTGACAAACAGCAAATGGGCAAAGCTGTGACCTAGAAAGGGTGTGGGGAAGTAGCAGAGGCTTGAGCCTGCTCCGATACTGGATAGAAGCCACAGTGGAGCTCTTACCTTTGCTTAGAAGATTTCAAGGATGACCTTCGAGGTAATGTAAAAGTCAGGAAGAGATCCTGGGGTTGCACAAACCCAGTGAAGCCAACCAGTTTTCCCTAGGTCCATCCTTGTGTTGCGCAGTCTGCTCTCCTGAGTTTGGGTCTTGATTCTGTATTTCTAAGAGCCCCAAAGTTGGTACGTTAGAATGAGAAACCCTGGCTCATGCTGGACATGTTGCAGGCTCTGTGTTGGTTAGCCCTCTTCCACCCCCCCAACCCCCTGCCCCGAGTCTCTGCCTACCTGCCTGCCTCTTCTCCCTGCTCCAGGACACAGGTAGGCTGGGGGACTCGAAGCATCAGGTCTCCGGGTGAGGCAGCTGCTCTCTGGGCAGTGCCATAGTTAGGGACAGCGAGCTCCTCTACTTGCCTCTTCCCACAATACTGGGTAGGAACCTGGTGTGTAAGCAATTCACCAATTTGCTTTTGAGACAGTCTAGGGCCCACAGCCCTGAGGGGCCCCAGCCAGAGCCCTGCAAGGTAGACATCAGTCTTGTTTGCATGAGCTTGAGGCTTGCTGGCAGCTCTGGCAGCTCTGTCACCTCTGACCTCCCCTCCTTTTCTGTGGGGCTGCAGAGAACAAGTCTGTTAGGTGGAAAGCCCCCAGCAGACTTAAGGTGGTCCTGGTGGCCGTACCCTGACACAGTGGACCTGTCTATCCTCTTCAGAGGATCACGCTTCTCTGTGGCTGCCTATCAGACCCAGTAGGACTGAACAAGGGTTGAGTTCAGCCAGTCTGAGCATGATGGTACAAGGCGGTGGCCCCCTGTAACACACTCATGTCTAGTCCTACCTCCTCGTCCTCACACCCACCGCTGATGTCACCACCTCGAGGCTCCTCCATCACCAGTCTTGCTGTGCTCCCACTAGTGGCCAGAGTGGGTCCTCAGCAGTATGGTGAGGGAGCCTCCTTGAGAAGCTGGGGCATCTCCTCTGGAGTCCTCTGGTCCTGCCAGCAGGCCAGCTCGGATCCCACTCTGCTCACCTCCCGCTTCCACAGGACTTTCTCACAGACCTGATGATGTCAGAGGTGGACCGCTGCGGGGACAACGAGCACCTCATCTTCCGGGAGAACACGCTGGCCACCAAGGCCATCGAGGAGTACCTCAAGCTGGTGGGCCAGAAGTACCTGCAGGATGCCCTAGGTAGGGGAAGTGTAGGCTGGCGGTGGGCAGAGGGCTGAGTGCTACCCGCCTGCTGCTCACTCCCTGCCCTGCTCACCTGGCCACAGGGGAGTTCATCAAGGCGCTATATGAGTCGGACGAGAACTGTGAGGTGGACCCAAGCAAGTGCTCTGCTGCTGACCTCCCTGAGCACCAGGGCAACCTCAAGATGTGCTGTGAACTGGCCTTCTGCAAGATCATCAACTCCTACTGGTCAGTGCAAGCCCAGGGCCTCTGGGGAACCATGTGGTATACTTGGGAGTCAGGCGGTCCTGCACTGTTGACGTACCCGTCCATCTGTTCTCTATCAGTGTGTAACAGCATGCCACGCACTGGGCTCAGAATCTACCCACTGCCAGGCCCTGCTGAGTGAATGGATTGCCAGGCTTCTGTTCTGGTCCTTTGGGGGCTCTTGAATATTGGAGACTGCCCTAGAATGTTTTCAGGGCAGTTTTAATGGTGTTACTTAGAAAGAAGCAGACATGGCAGTGTGTCTGCATGTGACTGGTGAGTGCTGTGTGCATGTGGAAGGAGGCTGGTGCAGCACTGAGCGGGACTGATGGGGCCCTCAAGGGCTCTTACTCCCAAGATTCTTCACTGTTAGTTCCTGGGACTCATGGAACTCCCAGCCCAGTCCCAGCATGTGTGAATGCATAAACAGGACTCCTTTAAGCCATGAGAACAAGGAAGAAAAGAGTGCCTTTAAACAGAGCAAGACCTGTAGGAGTGGAATGCTCATATGGACCATGAGCAGGGCAGGACTCATTCCCTGGAGAAGTTCCAGTAAGGCTTGCCTCCAGGCACCTGCTTATTAACTCCCGAAGTATGTGTGTGATGCCCAGCCAACTTGGTGCCTAGTTGATCTGCCCTCTTTGAAGAAGGGCTTTGTGATTAAGAGGGCCTTGTTGGTGCCCCAACTGGGTTTATTTTCACACTGGGGGAACTAGCCAGACTTCAGCCGGTGTGTCTGCTCCACTCGGGTGCTCAAGCATCTTCATAGCCATATGTCCTGACTTTGATTATTTCTTTCATTCACCCTCCTTGACCCCCATGTGTTCCTATCCTCAGTCTGCCATCTGCTCCTCTGGCCCTTCATCTTTCCAAATGTGCTTTGCGCAGCCATCTAGAGTTGTGTTCCATTAGAGTGGGATTGGGTCTGAGTGGGATGGCATCTACATCTGAAAGTTTCTTTCCTCTACATATACTGCAGTGCCCTAGGGGCTGGCAGCTCTCAACTCCGCCAGCTCTTGGCTGGGCATGCAGGAGAGCCCAGGAAGTGTTTATTGCTCTCAAGGGACAAGCAGAGGCAGTCTTGATAGACGGAATGTCCAGATGCGGGAGAGTGTGCCCACCTGCCCAGGTCCCTTGGGTTGTGACACAGGTGCTCTCCTAGGGCAGCTCAGAGCTGAGCCAGATATGCACACCTTCCCACTTTCTTAGGCCCTGGGGGAGCAGTCAGAAAACCTTGAACTCTGTGTGAGTGCTCTCCCTTCCCACCCCCACTAGGCTGGGCTTTCACCAACTCTGCCCCCCGTTCCAAGGCGGATGGGTGTGGGACACAGGGAAAACACTGTGGACAAGAATTTTCCATTTCCTTTTTCTGGCATATATCAGAAGCTTTTCGCTTATACCATTGGTAGATAATCACCACTCAGTGCCTGTCCCTGCCCAGTTTTGTGCTGGGCGCCATGAGGTCCAGGGCTGAGGGCCACTTCCCTCCCTTCCTTCCTCTTTTGGCAGTACCATTGGTCCAGCCACAGTCACTTCGGTAGAGCCTGTTGGGCTGGCTGTGGAGTTTATACAGATCAAGACCTCTTAGGGCCTTGTCACCTCAGCCTGAAGTTGGCTCTGTGAGCCTGGCAGGGCAGACCTTGCTCTCAGATTAAAGGATTAGCCAGGCATGAACTGGGAGCACTGGGACCTGGTTTGCCCAGGATGGGTATGCATACTAAGGTGTAAGTCAACAGAGCCACTTCAAAGTGGGCCGGGTAAGGCCTACGGAGCAGGTCAGGATGGCCAGTGGAGCCTTGAACCCTGGCTCCTAGTGTCTTCTTCCTCGTGTAGAACACGAGGAGCTGTGTTTTTAGTCTGTGAATAAGGTTACTTCCCTCTTCTTGATCACTCAGTTAGTCTGAAAACCTCAAACCCCCATGAGATATTTCAGGCAAAATAAGTGAGTGTACAGGCAGTGATGGCAGCCCAGGGACAGTTGATCTGTGCCTGCATTTTCTTCTCTTTCTTCCCCAGACCCAAGTGCCTGCTGTTGGGTAGGAAGATGTGCTGTCCCTGGGCAGGTAGAAAGGAGGTTCAGGACTACTTTGGCTGTTGTTCCATTAGGATGCTGAGCCAGCTCTCCAGGCCTTGTCTCCTGGCCTACTCATTTCCATGCTCTGATTTGAGCCTCAGTCTCCTGCTGGCTGAGCACTCTGTCTGCCAGCCCTGTGCTGGGCACTCTCCCACTGTACTGTCTGAGCTCTCCAGCAGCACTACCCACCCAGTGGGCAGCCCTCACCAATGTATGGCTAACAGGCTGAGTCATGGATACAAGGAGCTCAGTCTTCACACCAGATTCTGCCCTGAACCCCCCTGTCTTGGGCCCCTGCTGACCACCAGGGCTATCCTCGTCTGTCTCTACACAGCGTCTTCCCAAGGGAGCTGAAAGAGGTGTTTGCCTCGTGGCGGCAGGAGTGCAGCAGCCGTGGCCGGCCAGACATCAGCGAGCGGCTCATCAGTGCCTCCCTCTTCCTGCGCTTCCTCTGCCCAGCCATCATGTCCCCCTCGCTCTTCAACCTGCTGCAGGAGTACCCCGATGACCGCACCGCCCGCACCCTCACCCTCATAGCCAAGGTTACTCAGAACCTGGCCAACTTTGCCAAGTAAGTGTCACATTCCCTGACAGACAGAGAACTACAAGCTGGAGTGCACAGGGATAGGCCCCTGGGGTGCTTTGACCCTGAGTTGGGCGAGGCCAGAGCCCTGCTTTCATCCCTGTCATTCTTATTAGTTCCTCCCTGCCCTCTATTTCCAAATAGAACCTCCTCCACACCCCATTCTCCTAGTAAAGTACTTGCCATTTTGGTATGTTTCCTTTAGTTCCAAAGTCAAGAAGACAAGATTGTTTTTTCCCCTTTTGCCTTTTTGAATTAACATTATCAGAAGGACTCCCCTGTCCCTTAACATTCCTAAGCTCTATTTTGAAACCAATGACTAATATGCTGTGTTTCCTTAACCATTCCCTGTGTGGGTTCAGACTGCCCTGGGTTAATGTTGTCAAGATAGCTTTGCTTATAAAAAACACTTCTAAGTGTTTTCACTGCATTCTTAAAGTATGTAGGTATAAGTTGCAAGGCTGGGTCCTCTTGTTCATTCACAAAGTGTGAATTGTGGCCTGTACCAGGACTATCTCTGTGCTGGGCCCTGACACCGGGTCAGCTCTGGGCCCTCAAAAGCTTAGCTCACTGACAGGGTGATACACAGTAAACAGTGTAGCAGGGCAGTGACCAAGGCACACATCAGAGTCTCTGGAGGACCTGAGGTTGCAGGAAGAGAAAACTAAGAGCCCATTCATCTGATGCCTGGAAGGATATCAGGCTTAGAGGCTGGTGTGCCATGGAGGAGGGCAGTAGTACTGCTAAAAAAAAAAAGTCTGGAGCATCAAGTGCTAGGGCCAGGAGAAGCCAGAGATAAGGCCAAAGGCACAGCAGGGACCAGAAGGCCACATAAGGCGTGGGGAGTCACCGAGAGGTTTAAAGAAGTGGGAGGCTGGCCCTTCTCTCTTCAGATCCTGAAAAGATCACCCAATCAGCAGTGCAGTGTGAATGGCAGCCAAGAGACCCAAGAGGAGAGCATAGCTCTATGTGTCTAGCAAAAATGTCAAAAAGCCTGGAGAGGAAGAGCAGTGTAGGATGTGGTCAGGTGATGAAGTCAGCAGGCCTTGCCAGTTGGAGATGTAGAAGAGGGAAGACTAGGCTACTGCCAAGCTTCTGGCTCGGGCATCTAGATGGATGTTGTTCTCTTCACTTAGGAGAGGGAGCTTGAGAGGAGGCATGATTTGCGTGTGATGACTTCAGGCTGAGTAGGAGTTGCTCCCAGGGGAGGTGAGAAAACTGAGCAGGGAGACCTGGGCCCAGTATGGACCTGAGAGTCATCTGCGCCGGGCACTGACACTTGGAGGAAGAGACCATAACAAAGTCCTGTGGGAGTTGTGGGATTAAAGGTCCCTAAATGGGCTGTTAGGCTTGGGTTTGCGGAAGGGAGGCCATGGTGTTGTGGGTCACAGTAGATTCCATTGGCTTGGGATGCTGTGGTGGAAGCTAGTAAGGGGATGAGAACTTAGAGACAGTAATGGCTCAGGGAAGGTTTGCTCACTCCTGCTGCTGCCTCTTTCCAGGTTTGGTAGCAAGGAAGAGTACATGTCATTCATGAACCAGTTCCTGGAGCATGAGTGGACCAACATGCAGCGCTTTCTGCTGGAGATCTCCAATCCTGAGACCATCTCCAACACAGCAGGCTTCGAGGGTTACATCGACCTAGGCCGTGAGCTCTCCAGTCTGCACTCACTGCTCTGGGAGGCCGTCAGCCAGTTGGAGCAGGTGCCTGTGGCTGTGGCTCAGAGGGTGGGGCCAGCAGTCACTACAGAGATTCTTGTGTTCTTCCTTCCAGGGTAGCCTTGAGGTCAGAGGGTCTGCCTGTGTCGCCTGGGTCAGCCCCCAGGTGCCTGCAGCTCTGGCTCGTAGCTCAGCTCCTGTAGAACACACCAGGGGTCTCTGGGCTCCATTCTCTTTGTGGATGATGAGTGCAGTGTTCACCATCCAGCACCAGTCACAGCAGCTTGGAGTCCTGGGGCCTGGGGCTGTGCCTCAGGCCCTGCACACGTGGTGGCCGAGTTCCATATAGGAAGGCTCACCTTCCTAAGTGATGTGAAAAATGAGATTTGCCTTAAGAACTTCACCAAAGCTGTCCTGGCTCTGGGTTTTGAGGCCACTTAGCATGGAAAGATAGATGACGCTAGAGATGTGTCACTCTTACGTAGTGTGCACATGGTTCCACATTTGATCCTCAGAACCACAAAGCAACATTCAAGACAAAACAAAACAAAAAAACCTCTTTCTATCATTGCCTTCAGCCATCAGTTGACAAGGTGATTGCTTAAACATTGGCTGCCTTAGTGACTTCCACGGAGCTGTCCCCAGCCTGGTGTTCCACAGACTCCCTCACCCACCTAAGCCACCACAGGCTGTTGATGTTACAGTCCAGACCTGCCAAGAACCATGTCTTGAATACCTTGCTTTCCAGGGTTCTGGAGGTCCCCTGCATAAAGACAAATCCCGCTGCCATTGGTTCTGTCCCTAGAGGTGACCCCTCCAAGCATTCCAACATGCAGACTTGTGCACACAGGCACAGGCACGAAAAGTTCCCTTTCGTAGTTTGTTTTCAAGTGAGAACTTTCCACGTGCACTGCCATGTGTGTTTTTGCCGTCTTTCCAGGCGTCTTCCCGTATCACTGCGCCCTGTGCTGCTGCTGAGGTTTCTTAGCAGCCGCTCACCATCGTGTCACGAGAATGTGGTTTATTTCACCCATCCTCTAGTGATGGGCACTTGGGTTAGTCGCAGCTTTTTGCTGAAACTGCTGCTGTTGCCCTTGCAGCCAAGTCATTTTGCGCGTGGTTATCTACTTACCTTTGGCTGTGAGAGACCCAGGAGTCAGGTGTGGAAAGGAAGGCCAGGCCCTTCACTCTGGTCCTGAGCCTGCACTGCTAGGCACTGTCCCACAGATTTCACACCTGGACAGGAAGTGTGGAAGGTGATTGGCATGACAGATAGGGTGTAACAAGGATTCAGACTGAAACTGTTTGCTTCCACACATCTGTGTTAATGGTACAGGTTTTCATATTTCACTTTCACCCACTAACACATGGACTTCCACTGTACCAAAGCAGTGTTGCCATCTGTAAGTTCAGTCCTCTGTCCAGAACCCTCTCTACTGTGTCTAAGCTGTGGCAGCGAGGGTCAGATGGACTCAAGTTCTGCCCTCTGTCTGGCCAGCATCCTATGATGCCTCCTCTGTGCCTGAACCATTTCCTTGAGCTCAGGGGTCAAAATAGTATGACCTTGCCCGCCTTGTGGTTTAGGGAGCAGGAAGGGGCTGCCACAGAAATCCTTAGATGAGGAGATGTAGACATGGGGAATTGTGGCTTCCCTATGGACTTTCCTCTCTGAACGGGGCATCAGGGCAGGGAGAGCTATCATATTAGTGGGTCTCCTGTCCCAGGAATATCTGTCCACAAAGGAAGACTTAGAAATTGTTGGACTTGTTCCTTCCCAGACCCACTGACCAGTGGGGATGGGGATCAGCATTTTTGATGGATTCCCTGGGGGCTTTGAACCACTGAGTAAGTCCTGCAGCTGTACAGGACTCATAGCTCCCCAGAGTGTCCCCAGTAGATGACATCTGTCTTTTGCTATATCTCTGTAGAGCATTGTGTCCAAACTGGGCCCCTTGCCTCGGATTCTGAGGGATGTCCACACAGCACTGAGCACCCCAGGCAGCGGGCAGCTCCCTGGGACCAATGACCTGGCCTCCACGCCAGGCTCGGGCAGCAGCAGCATCTCAGCGGGGCTGCAGAAGATGGTGATTGAAAATGATCTCTCTGGGTAAGAGCTGCCAGGTGTGCTGAGTGAAGTGGAGCATGCGTGCAGACTAGTTATAGACCATCAGTGGTCTCAGATGTGGGGAGAGGACCCCCACACAAGTACAAGCCTGAAACAAGCCTGAAGAGACTCAGTATGTTTGGCAGGCCTAAGTTACAAGCCTGTTTAGAGAAAAATCAGGGAAGTTTTCCTGGAGGAGGCCGAGCCTTTTGGGAAAAGTAATATTTCCACTGGTAGACATGGCATTTTAGATCAAAGGCCTAGAGAAAGGCAACCTGTGCTCAGGAACCATTACTGGTCCCAAATATCTCTAGACTTTGAGATTTCCTGCACTTCAACACACCCCTCAGTATTTTCCAGGCCTTCAATAGTCAGGGGTGACCTGTCAAATTAAGGCTGGGAGCTCAGAGAACACAGCGGTCCTGAGCCCAGCGTCACTGAGCCTGCAGCACAGGTCACAGCCTGTCAACCCTGGAGGAGTTGGGACAGGTGCGTTGGTATTTGCATCAAAATAGGGGCCCTTCCTGAGAAGCCTAGTGTTCAAGCTTCTCTGGTGCACTCGGTTGCTTTTCCCAGCCCCTCATCTCTTAGGCCCACTTGTGAGGGTGAGACCAGGGCAGCAGCGTGTGCTCGCTCCAAAGTGGCAGCAGCGCAGGCCTTGAAGCAGGCAGGGGTGTTGAGCCAGGCCTGGGAGGGAGACTACCCGGAGGAGGCTGCCATGCCAGTCCCCAGCTCCTCTGAGCATTGGCTTGGGGGTCTGTTCACTTAACTTGCTAAGGGGGCGCAGAGCAATCACCAGCAAGAGTTCAGGTGGGGTCACCTGAGGGGCTGTGAGGCAGCCAGGCCCATGTGTGCTGAGATCTAATCTGTGTGTTACAGCATGGCACCCCAGGCCTCCAGCTGGTCATGGTTTAATTCCCACTCTGTCTCTTGCCCTTGTTCATTAAGCGCGGTGACCCCAAGTGGCTAGCTGCCTGTCTTGGGGCTTAGTTGTCTGTTCCCTTGGAGGTCCTGTTGATCAGCCCCCCATCATGAGCCTGTGTCAAGATGCTGAGGTCTTTGCTGCTGCTTATCCACTCAAAGCCTTGCCACCCCACATTCTTCCCCCATGGCCAACCTGGGTCCACCACAGCAGTACTGGCCTCCAGGGAGGTCCAGAGAAAGGTTTCAGCCAGGTGTTGAATAAGAAGGAAGCCAAGGGTGTGGCCAGCCAAGGTGGGGCAGAGCCTACAGCACAGGTTCAGACCCCCTCCCCGCCTCGCTCCTGCACTCTGATTCTGTTTTTATCAGAAATGCCAGCCTCCGCTTGCCACTCACAGAGTGGCAGTAGGAGGCTGGGTAGAGGGAGGTTTCACCAAGCTGATGAGGAACAAGAGAGGAAAGGCAGAAGGAGACACTGGGACTTGGAAACCACTATGAAATGCAGGGCCCAGGAGTGGCAGAGAGAGAGAGCCATGGAGCCGAGGGCCTGGGTTGACTTGGGGTTTCCCAGAGCACACCAGGTACCATTGCCTGATGTCCCAGGATGCAGCGCAGCAGGGAAAGGGCCTTTAGGGCAGCTAGCAGGGCTGGTCCCTAGAGCAGAGGTTCTGTGTGGGGAGCTCTTGCCACCAGTCCTGGGACTCATCCCTCTGCCACCCAACTATCCCCCTCCAAAGCCCTGGCTTGGCTTCAGGACCCCGGCAGGTTGGCAGTGCTGTTGTTTTGGACCCATGTGGCTGTACTTACAGTTCTTCTCTTCCCCTTCTTTCCCTGTGTGTGCTTGTCTCCCTGCAGTCTGATAGATTTCACCCGGTTACCATCTCCAACCCCCGAAAACAAGGACTTGTTTTTTGTCACAAGGTCCTCCGGGGTCCAGCCCTCACCTGCCCGTAGCTCAAGCTACTCAGAAGCCAACGAGCCCGACCTCCAGATGGCCAATGGTGGCAAGAGCCTGTCTATGGTGGATCTCCAAGATGCCCGCACGCTGGATGGGGAGGCGGGCTCCCCAGCGGGCCCTGATGTCCTTCCTGCTGACGGGCAGGCTTGTGCAACTCAGTTGGTGGCCGGGTGGCCAGCCCGGGCAGCCCCCGTGAGCCTGGCAGGGCTAGCCACAGTGCGGAGGGCGGGCCAGACACCCACAACACCAGGCACCTCTGAGGGTGCGCCAGGCCGGCCCCAGCTGTTGGCACCACTCTCCTTCCAGAACCCTGTGTACCAGATGGCAGCCGGCCTGCCACTGTCCCCTCGCGGCCTTGGTGACTCGGGCTCTGAGGGCCACAGCTCGCTGAGCTCCCACAGCAACAGTGAAGAGCTAGCTGCCGCAGCCAAGTTGGGAAGTTTCAGCGCTGCCACAGAGGAGCTGGCCCGGCGGCCTGGCGAGCTGGCCCGGCGGCAGATGTCACTAACTGAGAAGGGTGGGCAGCCTGCGGTGCCAAGACAGAATAGTGCCGGTCCCCAGCGAAGGATCGACCAGCCACCACCCCCTCCACCACCACCACCTCCTGCCCCCCGAGGCCGGACACCCCCCAACCTCTTAAGCACCCTGCAGTACCCACGGCCCTCGAGTGGAACCCTGGCGTCCGCCTCGCCTGACTGGGCTGGCCCTGGTGCTCGGCTGCGGCAGCAGTCCTCCTCTTCCAAAGGAGACAGCCCAGAGCTGAAGCCACGCGCCATGCACAAGCAGGTCAGCACTGGGGGGCGGGGGGCTCTCAGCCGTCCCACATGGCACCCACAGCATGCTCCTCAGTCATTCCACCTCACTGCACCCAGCTACCATCCCATGCAGAGCGGTGCCATGGCTTGCCCATCCACCAGCCTGGGAACCGGGGCTGCCACAGCCTTAAGGAGCTCCAGGTTTCTGTACCAGTTCTCACAAGGTCAGGCTGGGGTCTGGGAACAAGAAAGAGGGACCTGTTCATCTCCAGGCCCATGCCCGTGAAAGCCCTGGCCCTAAGCCCAGGTCTCCCTGCCTTGCTCGGGCTCTCACACTTCCTTCCTCCCCAGAGCATTCCCATAGGCCGAGCTGGCCCCTGGCCACAGCTGCCAGGAGCTTGGACAGTCTCCATCACCCAAGGGCTTTGGCAGGACACGGATAGACGGGCTGCAGGTGGCACACCCAGCCCGGTGCTGACCAAGCCTGGTGTAGGCACCCCTATGGCAGCTGTGTGGTGCTGGGGTCTGGCTCAGGCTGCCGGCTAGAAGACAGACAGCCCTTGCTGAGGCACTCATGCACTGGAGACCACTTCCGGCCTCTGAAGCACTTGTCCAGTAGCTCACTCAGTGTCGGTCCCTGCCCCACCCACTCCCTGCGCCTCCCCGCAGCCCTTCACAGCTGTGTTTCATTGTAGGGCCCTTCACCCGTGAGCCCCAATGCCCTGGACCGCACGGCTGCTTGGCTCTTGACCATGAACGCGCAGTTGTTAGAAGACGAGGGCCTGGGCCCAGATCCCCCCCACAGGGATAGGCTCAGGAGTAAGGAGGAGCTCAGCCAAGCAGAAAAGGTAACGCCGGACCCGGGCTGGGCGGGCAGGGCGGGCTGCAGGAGTCTCTCCTGAGAGCCCTCGGTGAGGTGGCTCTGCCTGCTCTGCCATGCAGTCCCCTCGAGAAACTTGAAGGAAAGCAGCCAGCGGGGCCTAGCATAGACCTGAGGTCTCTAGACAGCCTGCACAGTGGACACCTGGGACCAGGGCAGTGCCAGAGCGGCACCTTCATACCCTTGTAGGGAGTCTCATGCACAAGGAAGCAGACGGGGCTCCCTGAGATGGTGGGAAAGCCCGTGAGTGCCAGCCACCTGAGCTCTATGCCTCACCGAGGCCTGGCCCTTCCCAGTTACGAGGACTAGGGGGATGCGATGATTGTGAAAAATCCAGTTCTCCTCCTTCCTCACCTCTAGCATTGGTGGGGCCGTGGGGGGCTTCATCCCTGCCCACTCGCAGGTTGCCCAGTTGTTGGGACAGTTGCCCTGGATCTGTGGCTACTCCTTCCCGGGATGGTCAGAGGTCAAGTAGGTGGGTGAATTGGGACCAGGCCCCCAGGAAAGCAGCCTCCTCTCAGTCTCGTGCCCCAGAAATCCTGATCTCTCCTCCTGAGAGAATCTGGGGTCAGGGTGGCTGTGTTCCCCACTCCATCACCTTAGGAGAGGTCCATCACCATGCTGCATTTGCTGCCCTCTCCATGCCCTCAGTCCACTGCTTCTGCTTGCTTTCACAGAACTTGACACAATGCTCCAAGAGCCCAGGGGTTGGGGGGAAGGCGGGAGATGACTCTCTGCTTCCATTAGTCCTGCATCCTTGAGTCTGGCCCCTCTGACTTCCAGGGCTGCCCCCACCCCTCCTGTGAGGAGGCCACTGCCTCCTCTTGTCCCCTCAACCTCCCTTCTCCTCCCAAGAGGCTTAGAAGAATCTGAGAGCCAGAAGCACCCTGCCTTTGTCTCCTTCCTGTCCTCTCCTATGTTCCACACACCTGCTTCCATAACGTTAGGGTCAGGCTGGGAGACTCACACCTCGCCTGCTTGTCAGCCACTGTCCACGGGACTTGGTTACCTGTCTGGGCCTTAGTTTTCCTCCCTCAGAGCCCCAGTGTCCTTTATATATCCTAGGGTTTTTAGACCTTTGTTTATTAAGGAAAGCTTGAGGTGGGCTGGGGATGTGACTCAGGTGGTAGAGTGCCTGCCTTGCAAGAGTACAGCCTTGAGTTCAAATTAACTCTTCACAACTGTCCAGGTCAGGCTGCAAGAGATCCCTAGGTGCTGTGCAAGCTTGAGTCTCATCACAGCCATGGGCCATTCCCTGCCGGGGTCCCTCCCTGCCTCACCCCTACCCAGGCTGACCAAGTTATATTCTCTTGTCCCGGGTGCTGTGCTCGTGGCACGCTGCCCTACTGGCAGGACCTGGCAGTACTACAGGACAAGCTGCGGATCTCCACCAAGAAGCTAGAGGAGTATGAGACCCTGTTCAAATGCCAGGAAGAGACAACTCAGAAGCTGGTGCTAGAGTACCAGGCACGGTTGGAGGAGGGCGAGGAGCGGCTTCGGCGGCAGCAGGAGGACAAGGACATCCAGATGAAGGGCATCATCAGCAGGTGAGGGCAGCTGGTCCATTGCCCTCAGGAGGCGAGGCCGTGGGCCTGTGACAAGCCTTGGCCTCTCCCAGGGGAGTTGCTGGTCTGCAGAGACAAGAGAAGTTGAAGCACAGAATCAGAGGGAGGCTGGACCAGCCAAGACCAGCCTCCAGAGGGCCAGCCTCCAGAGGACCAGCCTCCAGAGGCCGAGCAGAAGGCAGAGCTCTCAGGGGAGTTTGGAAGCTGAATTTGAGGTGCCACTGAGGCCCCCATTCATTGGGGCGGGGAGGGGGGCGGTCAGTTCTGCTCAGGTGGGAAGTGAGAGGGAGGGGAGACAGGATAACCTCAGATTTCTTGGAAGAGCGTCTGGCTGTCAGGGCACCTGCTGCCCATGAGGAGCTGTTTGAGCAGGGAGCGAGGGTGACAGTGCTCGTTGGAGATCTGTTGAGTTTCAAGGTGCCTTGGTTATCTGGAGAGGGTTTTGGAGTTAGGTGGTTTTGATTGTTTTGATGTGGCTAAAGACCGTCGGGTCCCGTGTCGACCCATGGGTTGGGTGGGCATACGTCCCTTAGTGTTTGCCATAGGACGTGCCGTCTAGGTGCAGTGTCTCCACCAGCCCCTTACAGCAGGAACAGCAGGCGTAGCTGGAGAAAGGGGTGGGCTTGTTTGTTTTGTGTCATCTGGCTCTGGACAGACGGAGCAGATGTGCAGAGCCCAGGGAATCCTCCCCGGCTCATGCCTTGTCCTCCACTGGTTTGTCATTTACCTTCCATTTTATTCATTATAAATGATGACTAGAAGCAGAGCAGAGGTGAGTAGCAAGCATGTGTGAGTCTAGGGATGGAAACATTTTCAGCCTGACCACCTCATCTTCCCCACGTGTCCTCTGAGGCCCCTGCTCTTCTGCATTCAGAGACAGGCCTCGTGTCTGCTAACCAATCCTGGCACTTTTCTCCCCTAATAGGATCTGGTCAGTCTGGTGGACAGTCAGGTCTTCTGTATAGAAGAGTCTCATGGATTTATCTGCATGGGTTGGCTTTGGACCATGATTCTCAGATGCTCAGCCTCCTGAGTAGCTTGACATCTCTTCTTAAGTGTGTCTGTGTTGAGGGTTATTATATATTGTGTGAGTAGAATTGACCTCTTTATAAAGTCATTATTACCTGATAATGTTTTTTGCTTTGAAATATGCCCTGTCTATTGTAACTGTAGCCACCCCAACTAATTATACTAACTTCCCTCCCCTTCCTTCTTTCCTCTAGAATTTCATTTTAGTAATAGTTGCTTGAATGTACCTACTATTCTATCTGTAACTTTTTGGTCTGTATTACTTACTCTTCTGGTCTGAGCAAGTTACCTGAGTGAAACAAGGAAAGAAAGTCCCAGACTTTTCGGTCCATGTTTCTTGGCCATGGGCTTGGGCAGCCATGGCTGTGGGAGCACGTGTCAGGGGAGATTGGAACTCTTGTTTTGACAGGAAGGAGAGAGAACCACGGAAAGGAGCCAGGGACAGTTTACTCCCAAGGACTTGTCCCAGCGACCGACCCCCTCCTTCTTGGTTTTGTCTCCTGGAATAGTGGCTTCAGCTGGGGACCAAGTTCAACACCTAAGGCTGCCGGGGACATTCTAAGCAAACCATAACAGAGTTCTTGTTCATTATTCTCGCAGGTTTAGGTTTTATTATCCTTCTTCTCAGCACACTTGGTACTTCTGGCTGGCTAGCCAACACTGACTCTTAGAGTTAGGTGTCCAGATTCCTCATGTTGTTGAAATGCCTCGGGGATGTGCTCAGGACTCGCTGAGGCTGCTTGGAGTCAGCTCAGTCCTTCGAGGTTCACTTTGGGTTCTCTAGGATGAGGCTGCAGGGCCATAAGGCCACATCTAGCCATGCCGACCAGGTGGTTTTCTGGGGTCCTTGGGGCTCCGTGTGAGTACATCTTTCCAGTCTAGCTGCTGGAAGTGCAGATGGCTCCTGGGATTATTCTGGGTCCTTTTCAGTGCCTCCTGGCCTGCCTGCTGATTTGCTCCATGCGTGCGGATCGGTATTCAGGATTCATGCACAGACTCGAGGGACATGAGTGGAGTTTATCTCTGCCTGCCACTGTGCCCTGTACAGCCTACACTTTGACCTTCCAGAATCCCCCGTGTCTCCTCAGCTCAGGGAAGGTGCCCGCACCCTCCACTTTCTCCACTCCCTCTACTTGAAGGCCACGAGTTGGGCCCTGGGCTGGTGTGTTGATTTCTGTTCCCACAGGGCCTGTTCTGTGTCTCATGACCTTTGTTTTACACACGATCCAGCCTTCAGCTTTGTTTTTAAGGCAAGAGTGTATATCCAGCCTCCTTTTTAATGTAGTTTCCCTTACTTGGCACTGTGTAAGCCTTGCCCACCCTTGACAGGCTTTCCTCAGTGTGTCATTTTTCTGGAAGCAAGGAGCTCACCTTGGAGTGCTCCCTTACTCCTTCTAGTCAGCGCTCTGCTCCAGGGCCTACTCAGCACTGTGCATGGAGAAAGGCGTGTGTCCAGCAGGCAGATGGAGGCTGACTCCAGAGCCCATGGAGCCCTGGTGCCTGGGGCAGGTGGAACTAGACATCTCCAGAGCAGTGGCCTGGGAGACAGGGAGCCCTGTGACTGTATGCCTGGGGGCCAGGGCAGGAGGGCCTGGTACTGAAGGCACCTCAGAGAGGAAGATGAGACCAGAGAGCTCCATGGAAAGAGCAAGTAGTGCCACATCAGTGTCCCTGTCTGTGTGTCTGTCCCTCGGGGGCTGACCTGAGGACATGGCCTCCTCATGCTCCTCTCTGGACCTGTACTCCCCTAGCCCTGCAGCCCTGCAGTGCAGTCGCTCAGCTCACCTGCCCACGGCGGCCCTGCTGCCTTGAGTTCCAGGAGGAAAAGGGCTGGATTTTCCTCCCCTAGAGCTGGCACAGGGCTACTGCCTTGGTGAACATGGAGCGTGTTCAGCTTCTGCCCTGTGCTGGGGTCTGTGAAGATCCCACCTTCATTCCTGGAGGAATGGAGGAAAGGCACAGCCCCAGGGGCTTCTGGGAAGTGCTGGGCAGAGAAGGGAGGGAATCATGGGCCAGGCCCAGACTGGTCAGTTGCTGGGGGACAGCCTCACCGATGTGTGGGAGGAAGGCCCAAGGAGGGGCTGTCCGCGTGTGCCCCTCTGCCCACGTGATGGGCTTTCCTAAAGGCCTCTCCCCCTCCTCAGCTCACTGTCCAGGGATGTTCTGACTGTCCATGTCTCCGCTTGCAGGTTAATGTCCGTGGAGGAGGAGCTGAAGAAGGACCATGCTGAGATGCAAGCAGCTGTCGATTCCAAACAGAAGATCATTGATGCCCAGGTGGGGGCTCTGGGGCTTTGGCCCGCTGTGTGAAGAACCCGAGCTGAGGCGGGGATGACTCTGGCTTCTCAGTCATACCTCACGGGGCAGAAGCTGAGGGACAGGAGACGAGGAGCTCTGCTCTGGGATGTCAGTCTCGTGGTCTCCACAGGCCACATCTGACCAGGGCGGGCTGTGAGGGAAGGGCGGCCGCCCTGCTGTGGGGCGCTTGGTGGATATTTGTCACATGGATGCTGGGTGGGGCGTGGAAGCTACCGTGAGGGGAGGGAAATAGGCGGAGCTGCAGATGGACAAACCCGTTGGGCAGAGGGAGCATTGGGGCTGATGTTCAGAGCTGTGGCTTCCAGACTTGGAGAGGTGCAGGAGCAGGGGACTCAGCCCCGTCCCTTCACGCAGGCTCAGGAATTAGCAGTGTCCCGTGTGTACATGGGTCCAGGGATGCGCGCCCTCGCGCTCTAAGGCAGCCGCCAGCAGCAGCTATGAGAGCTGCTCTGTCTGAGATGAGACGGCACAGAGCCTCCTCCCGTGGTGCCAGCTGCCCAAGTCTTGGGCCTTTCCCACACAGTTTTCGCGCATGCCCCTGGTCTTCCTGCTCTGCAGCGCTTTCATAGCGGCCCCTCGCCCAGCATGATCTGTCCTGCAGCCCAGAGACCATTCTGCGCCCCACTAACGCCCTTCTTGCCCACAGGAGAAGCGCATCGCCTCCCTGGACGCTGCCAACGCCCGTCTCATGAGCGCCCTGACGCAGCTGAAAGAGAGGTACAGCATGCAAGCCCGTAACGGCGTCTCCCCCACCAATCCCACCAAATTGCAGATTACCGAGAACGGCGAGTTCAGAAACAGCAGCAATTGTTAACCAGCCCGAGGAGGGAGGACCCTCCCCGAGGAGAGGGGACTGTGGTGGCCCAGGGCAGGGTCTCGGCCAGGAGCACCCACAGTCACAGCCCCTCGTGGTTGGCGGAGGCTGAGGCGCCCCCTCCCCTCGCCCACTGTCCAGGAGGCGGCACGGAGGGAGCCAGAGACTGACGCAGCGTGACGAGGAAGTGGGTCTGGGCGCGGGCACGAGAGACTGCACGCTGGGGAGGGGGCAGGGGCAGGGGCCTGCCAAACACATGTCCGTTGCTTGTCGAATTCGGTGTATGTCACCTTTTCCTCCATGACTAGCCAAGTGCATGTACCCCACACCCTCCTCAGGTAGGGAACTGCCTGGAGAAGGGCCAAGTTAAGGGCTAGGGACCACCCCCTTGCAGCTTCCCGCGGCCTGGCCGTCAGACCTCTGCCCTGGGGGGCTGGGACCTCACGGGTGGGTGCAGACAGGGAGATGGTGGCTGGACAGAGGAGGGATCCTGTGGCCCCCCTGAGCAAGTGGCACAGCATGCAGCCCACGGGTTGCCGTGAGGAACCCAGGGTTCGCCCTGCCCCCACCCATCCCATAGTCACTTCCCCTACCTCCTCCCTTCCTTAGACGCATCGCCAAATAGATCAGTGAGAATCCTGGCTTTTTCTTCTGGGCCCTCATACTAGTGGGGCGTCTACAGAGCCCGCCATACCTACTGTGTGGGGCTGGGCTGATGCTCTGGGGCTCCCAGAAGCCAGAGAGGTGGGCAGAGCTGGCCGCAGGGCACAGTGCACTGTAGCCGCCTTCTCCAGAGGCCTGGGGCACCTGGGGTACAGTGGCCCCCTGCAATGTAGCCAGTTGGTGCTCTCCCAGAAAAGGTGATCTTTCCTCTGATGGCTGAAAAGAAAAAGTCTGAGGCCTGCAGGCCCTGAGAAGGTGGATAACTGTGATTCTTTTTCCTTTCACAGTATGCATTAGAAACAAAAGCCCGCTTGCTCGCTTGCTGGAACACAGGGGCCTTTTAAATTGAGCGTGCGCACTGCATGGGAAATAGCGGCCCCGGAGGATGTTAGACTTGCTCCCTCACCAAGACAGCAGCCGCCTGCACCAGGCCCCGTGTGTGCGGCCGCCTCTTCCTCACCCTTCCCAGCCCCATCCACGGACTCTGGCACTGCAGCCAGGGGAGGGCACACCCCACTGCTGGGGCTGGTTTTCCTCAGCTCTAGGCTGTTCTGTGGCATATCTGCCTCTCCCCACTGTGCGGGACAGACACGGGCAGGAGCTCCACTCTGCCTCTGCCCATTTGTTCCCACGCCCTGTCGAGTCCAAGCTCTGACCCTTAGGCAGGAGTGTGGACCTCTGCCCAGGCAGCAGAGCCAGGGCCGGGCAAGCTGTCTGCGGGGCAGCAGTGTGCCAGAGTCCCCACCAGGAAGGGTGGAAGTCTAGCCAGAGCCACACAGCACGGCATTCAGGCCTGTGGACAGGTATCTGTCTGCTCCAGGCAGGGCTTTTAGATGGCACTCCAGCGCCATTAGCTAGAGACGTGCCGGGCCTCAAGTCAGAGACCTCAGGAAGGAAGGAGATGGGGGCTGAGGTCGTGCTGCACCCTCTGTCCTGCCCCTCCTGCCCAGACCCTTGGCTCGTATGTCAGCCAGGGTGGCCTCGGGCAGAGCCAGGTCCCAGTGCTGTCCTCTTCCTCCGTCCACGGGCCCTGCTCCCCCCCCCCCACCAGGCCCTCACCCGTGCCTCCTAACGTGGCCTCGGACTCAGCACCTCCTAGCAATATGGGGGTCCCCAGGGCTGGACAGGAGGGCGCTAGGGCCAGCCGCCATGGGCGCCGTGGCTGCCCTTGCAGGGGTCGAGGGCTCTCAGGCCGAGAGCCTTATTTACCTAGTGCAAAAACTGTAAAAGTGTACAGACTCCTCACAGATTTTTATCTTATTGCAAGTCTGACAATTTTTGTAAATGTGCTTGGTGTTTGACTGTAATGTAACTATTTCACCCACGGGTTGTACATAGTCCTCTAGTCCTGGTGCTGTGGGGGCTGGCCGGGACCACCGCTCCTCTTGTACCTTGGCACCTGGTGGACAGCGCTGGGCAAGGCGAAGAGCCCTGGGGTCTGGCTGTCCGCCCACCCACCATCGATTGGCTGGCTTTGCCCCGTGCCACCTGGGTGGACCTGCTGGGGACCACGGCCTGGTGGGGCTGGTAAAGGGGTCTCCTGCCCAAGGCCACAGAAAACCCATGTCCTGGGTTTCACCCAGGCCTGGGGGTGCCAGAGGTCCCCCAGGGAAGGGCAGTCTCTGATCCAGGATGGGCCTCCAGGCCACTGAGCCTCAGGTCTGCTGGCCAAAAGACCCCAATCTCCACCCCCAGCACAGAACCTTGACCTTTATTTGCTCAGCTCCTGTGTTCAGGGTGAAGAAACTGCCAAACTTCCCACGAATGAAGACTCCCTGACTGCCCAGGAGGGAGTGGGGCCAGGGTCAGGGCCCCCCAGCACCTCTGGGCGGGGGGAGGCGCTACTCCCTCACACCCATCCGTCAGGGAGCCAGACTGCCCAGGGAACCAGCCCCTCTTTTCTACACACTCGGCCACAGGCTGCCCCCAACCCCACCGCGTCCCAGCCCCCTCTTTTTGTAAGTATGTGAAAAGGAAAAAAATACAAATGTTGGAGTTTGGCTGGAGCTCTTCACTCCAGCCATGACTTTTAACCATGTAATAATGTACAGAGAAGTGTTGGTGTTCTAAGACTGTGTGGCTGTGCAATTTCTGTACATTTGCAATTAGAAATATTAAAGATTTATTTAGCTATTTTAAGCCTGGTTTGCCTCTCCATTCAGCTGTGCCATGGTAATTTTATAGGGGTGACTCTCAGTCCTGGTTCCTGTGGAGCCCCACACTTGGCTCCCTCTGGTAGATTCACGGGCAGTGTGGTCTCTGAGCTGCCACCCCTGGCTCCCAGGAGCTTAGACATGAGGTCTTGGCCCACCAAGTGAGATAAAATGGCCCCTGCACACATGACTGTGGCAGATGCCAGCTTGTGCCAGGCTCTGGGTGAAGGGGTCTGGTCCTGGGGGGGGGGCCTAGCATCACCAGTCATGTCTCAGCTCCACAGTGTTCTCAAGCTTTCAACACCTGGAAGAGTTGAAACTCCCTGCAGATGGAACCCAGGGGCCTAGCTGGAAGAAGCCAGCCCCGAGACCACTGGTGCTGTCCATGGGTGTGTGCGGGAAGGGATGGCAGCCCGGCCCTGCCCGCATCTCAGCCTTTCCCCCTCCAACCAAGGACGCAAGGGAGCACAACCACAGGCTGGACTGTGGCTGGCCAGACTACCGCTACTTGTGCCACCCCGGGCTCTCCAGTGAGGACCCTCTCTCCCTCTCCATGACAGCCAGCCTGGAATCCACTGTGGGCTGCTGTCACCTCCAGCCTTGAAAAGCATTATGCAAGTGTAGCTGCTTCTCCAGGCCCGTCCGTCCGTCCGTGTGTGTGTGTGTGTGTGTGTGTGTGTGTGTGTGTGTGTGTGTGTGTGTGTGTGTGTGTGTCGGCTTCATGATCTCATGCCTCTCTTGCTCATGGCTGGCACTCTACCACTTGAGCTATGCTTCTAGTCCAGCTTCTTGCTGATTAGAAATACAATCTCATAGGCTTTGCTATCTGGGTTGGCTGAATACCTTTATCCACTAAATCTCAGCCTCCTACATGTAGCTAGGATTACAGGAGTGAGACACCAACTCCTGGCCTGGGTTTTGTTTGTTCGTTAAGACAGTATCTCACTATGTAATTCCTGGAACTCAGGACCTTCTTCCCTCAATCTCCCAAGTGCTGGTTTGACAGGCCTGTACCATCACTGCTGGTGCTAAAATTAGATTTTTAAAAGAAATTAGTCTTTGAATTGAGCAGGGAATATTGATCACATGCATTATCTCCTTTCCTCTCTCAGAGACACTGTACTGACAGGAAAGGAATAAAAGGGTCATCGTGAATAAGGACAGAATTAATGTGGGAGGAGGTGAGAGCATTGGGAACATTGCCGGCTGGGAATCGATGAGGGGATGTAGAAGAAATTAAGAAACAGCAACTGGGGTGACTGGATGCGGGTGGGAGAGACCCCTCCCTCCCTCATGTACTTAGTAAGGCAGTGCCAGGGCACACCCCCTCCTCCGCTCTGCACAACCTGGAGACTACGCTTCCTCGTCTCCCAGCAGGGGGCTGGATAGTGTGTGGGAATAATCCAGTGTGCTCTCGATGAGGGCACACTGGATGGGGCAGGGGGCTCCGGGTGGCACTGGGCGGAAGCAGGCTGGAGAGGGGTAAGCAAGTCCCTGCCCTCGGTGGTGCTCCCTTTCCTCTCAAGAAAAGACCTTTGATGGCTAAAGTAATATTACTGTGTGGCCAGGCGCTGGTGGCTCATGGTAATTGTAGCAACTCATGAGGCTGAGCTCTGAGGATCCCCATTCAAAGCCAACCCAGGCAGCAAAGTCCAGGAGACTCATCTCCAATTAACCTCCAGAAAACTAAAGTGGTGTTGTGGCTTGAAGTGGAAGAGCACTAACCTTGAGGGAAAGAGCTCAGGGACAGCACCCAGGCCCTGAGTTCAAGCTCCAGGACTGACAAGAAATACTGCTGTGTGAAATGATTTATCCCAGTCAATGGCTTCAAGAAAGAAAAGTGGAAGTTTTTTGAGGTACTGCGATTGGAACTCGGGGCCTTGTACAGGCGTGTGCCAAGAGAGAAAAGGCCAGGCAAGATGGTGAGACCTGGAGTTCAAGTTCCAGTATGCACGTGTGTGTGCATGCTTGCACACACACACACAGCCATCCTGGTAAGAAATTTCAAAGGTCCACTGAGCACACTCAGGTGCTCATCTCTGGCCAGTCAACAGCAGTTAAAGCCCTGCAGGGCAGGAGAAGCCATCAGTCATGGCTGGGCATCTTTTCCAGGGTGTGGCGTGTAACTACCAATGGCAGGTCACATGACTGCATCTGGACAGTCCTCTAAACACTATTCAAGAAAGGTGCTGGGGTGAGAAGCTACTGACCTTTTGCCTTGGTCATGGGTAATTTTTCTGCCTATATTGTGATAGTTCTCCACCATCATAAAGCCCAAAGCCTTGGAGAGGGCAGGAAAGGAGTGACTTTCTCAGACACACTGCTGATGCCTGCACCCCAGTGCTGGACGCAGGGAGGAGCAGAGACAGGTGAGCAGGTGAACAGATGCCCTCATGACAGCAGCACCATCCTGTCAGACCATCCAGTCCAGGCCTGTGCCTGTCTGCCTGCTTCCTCTCCCTCCCTCCCTCCCTCCCTCCCTCCCTCCCTCCCTCCCTCCCTCCTTCCCTCCTTCCCTCCCTCCCTTCCTTCCTTCCTTCTTTCCTCTTTCTTTGTTCCAGTCTTGGGCCTTGAACTTAGGGTCTGCGTACTATTGCTTAGCTGTTTTGCTCAATGCTGGCACTCTACCTCTTGAATCACAGCTCCACTTTCAGCTGGATAATTGGAGATAAGGATCTCGACTTTCTAGCCTGGACTGGCTTTGAACCGTGATCTTCAGGTGTCAACCTCTAGAGTAGCTAGGATTACAGGCACCACTGGCACCTGGTTGATGCCTTTGTTCTATACCCAGCGCCATTGCTCCCGCGTTCCACATTCAGAGCCAAGTGGCCACTGGCCTTTGCCACCTGTGTATTTCCCAGGCATCAAACTGAGTGTCTGAAACAGACTTAACATTTCCGATCCCCCAAACTTGTCTTTCTTCTCATTTGCAATTCCAAAAACTCCCCCCCCTCAAACAGTTCTACCATTCCCCGCCCCCAGTTGCTCAAGCCAAGTGCTAAATGTGACTTCTGTATCCTTGTGCTTTAAAAGGGATGTACAGATTTAGAATGATGTTCTTGATACATTATGAGCAAAAGCCAGCAGTCAGTCAGGGTGCCCCCATTCCTTTGAAGAAGAATGAATAAATTCCATGGCACGCAATAAATTACACAGAACAGACATCGAATCAAACACATCCTACTGTGAATGGCAATTTCCCCTTGAGGGGGGAGGGCTCACAGGATGGGGGAGGCCAGCTTTCACTTTCTCTTTACGTTCTTAGGAGTTGCCTGAATATTTTACAACCAAGTTTTTATTTCTTGTGCTGAGACAGAGCCATTTAAGAATAAATAAAACATAACCACATAATGAAATGCGGCACAACCATTAAAATTGTAGAATAATAATAATAAATGGCATTCAAAAAAGATGTAAATAATAAATGTAAAAGTTGATAACTGAATTATATGTCCAAGGAGAGTTCCAGTTCAGTTTTAAAACTGTAGAAACAGAGGTGGATTATGATGGTAAGGGATTAGGTAGGAGCTTGGAGTTCAGATCCAAGAAGGACTCAGGGTTGATTCTGTCTCTGTTGATTGGCAGTATGATCTGAGAATTATGGGAAAGCCCTCATGTCTCAATTTCCTCAACTAGAGATTGAGGACAACAGTATTTGTACTATAGAGAACTCTTCTCTATGCATAGGTTTCCTGACATAGTACTTATCACTACTCTTCTTACCACAGCTACTAGCAAGCAAATAAATGTTACCTACTAATAATTTCCCAAGAAAATCTTCAGTAATCACTTGTGTTATATAGAACATATATCAGGGGGTTAATAAAACGTTGCCTTAGAAGTAATGAGGTAAGGGTTGGTTGCTCTCTTTGATTGTATTTTCTGTTTTTTAAAATGTACTTTGTAATCAAAAAGTCTTTGAAAATCCAACAGAATATGTAGAGCTGGGAAAGTGGTAGAGCTAGCAACAACAGATCTCTGGCCAATAGCCAGCATTGCCCTTAAGGGTGAAAAACTGGGAGAGAGCAAGGGAAGGGGTGACATTGTCCAAAAAGACATGTACTCCTTACCTGACTATGTAGCTGCCACCCCTCTATACAACACCTTTATAATAACAGTAAAAATCTTTTTTCAAGAGTGAAATGTAAGAAACTTTCCCAATGGGTGAGAAACAAGATTTAGTTGCAAGAATCTGTCCTGTGTCAACGCAACTGGGCAGGAGATTAATTACACTTACTAAGAAAAGAAAGACAAAAGATAGGATTATTTGCTGGGTGCCAGTGGCTCGTGCCTATAATCCTAGCTACTCATGAGGCTGAGATCTAAGGATCGCTGTTCAAAGCCAGCCCGGGCAGGAAAGTCTGTAAGACTCTCATCCCCAATAAACCAACAGAACCCAGAGGGGCGGTGTGGCTCAAGTGGTAGAGTGCTTGCCTTGAGCTAAAGAGCTGAGGGACAGAGTTTAAGCCTCATGACCAACCAAAAAAAAAAAGGATTATTTGCTTGGAATTTTCCATTGAAAACGTGATCCTGGTTTGGTAAAGTGGCTGAATACACAATAAAATAAAAAATGTAGGTTGCTAGGCCAAGTGCCAGAAACTTGCTCCTGTAATTCCCCTTGGGAGGCTGAGAGCTAAGGATAGTGGCTCAAAGCCAGTCTAGGTGGAGAAGCCTTATTTCTACTAATCAGCAAAAATTCAGAAGCGGAGGTGTGGCTCAAGCATGCTGGCCTGGAGCAAAAAAGCTAAGCAACAATGTGAGGTCCTGAGTTCAAGTCCCGGTACTGGCATGTGTGTGCACGCATGTGCATGTGCACACACAGGCACACACAATTGAGGTTGCTTTCCACACAGCAATCAATGGCCTGGACATCAGTTAGTGAGGTAATTATTGGTGGGGGGGGGGTGCTGCTACTGGGAGAGGCTGGTAAAAGGGGACCTGAGATCTTGGACAACCTGGTAAGGTACACTGTCTAGATGGTCACCC